TTGCCTCTCCCACTCTATCATCTGCTCTCCTTTTGCACTCTCTCACCACTCTCTTTACCTTTCTTTTACTCTCCATATACTCTGCTCTTCTTATAACACTTCTGCTTTGTAAAAACCTCTCATAAGCTACCTTTTTCACTTTTATCACACCCTTTACTTCATCATTCCACCAATCACTCCTCTTTCCTCCTGCCCCCACCCTCCTATAACCACAAACTTCTGCCCCACATTCTAATACTGCATTTTTAAAACTATTCCAACCCTCTTCAACCCCGCACTACTCATCTTTGCACTAGCCCACCTTTCTACCAATAGTCGCTTATATCTCACCCGAACTTCCTCCTCCCTTAGTTTATACACTTTCACCTCCCTCTTACTTGTTGTTGCCACCTTCCTCTTTTCCCATCTACCTCTTACTCTAACTGATCCGATATATCAGTTGCCCCTCTATAAACATGTACATCCTGGAGCCTACCCATCAACCTTTTATCCACCAATACATAATCTAATAAACTACTTTCATTACGTGCTACATCATACCTTGTATATTTATTTATCCTCTTTTTCATAAAATATGTATTACTTATTACCAAATCTCTTTTTACACATAGCTCAATTAAAGGCTCCCCATTTACATTTACCCCTGGCACCCCAAATTTACCTACTACTCCCTCCATAACATTTTTACCCACTTTAGCATTCAAATCCCCAACCTCCATTACTCTCACACTTGATTCAAAACTCCCCACGCCTTCACTCAACATTTCCCAAAATCTCTCTCTCTCCTCTACACTTCTCTCTTCTCCAGGTGCATACATGCTTATTATAACCCACTTTTCACATCCAATCTTTATTTTACTCCACATAATCCTTGAATTAATACATTTATAGTCCCTCTTTTCCTGCCATAGCTTATCCTTCAACATTATTGCTACTCCTTCTTTAGCTCTAACTCTATTTGAAACCCCTGACCTAATCCCATTTATTCCTCTCCATTGAAATTCTCCCACCCCCTTCAGCTTTGTTTCACTTAAAGCCAGGACATCCAGCTTCTTCTCATTCATAATATCCACAATCATCTCTTTCTTATCATTTGCACAACATCCACGCACATTCAGACTTCCCACTTTGACAATTTTCTTCTTCTTATTCTTTTTAGTAATCTTTACAGGAAAAGGGGTTACTAGCCCATTGTTCCCGGCATTTTAGTTGACTTTTACAACACGCATGGCTTACAGAGGAAAGATTCTTATTCCACTTCCCCATGGATATAAAAGGAAAAGTAATAAGACCAAGAACTATTAAGATAAAATCAAAGAAAACTCAGATGAGTGTGTATAAATAAATGTGTACATGTATGTGTAGTGTGACCTAAGTGTAAGTAGAAGTAGCAAGACATACCTGTAATCTTGCATATTTATGAGACAGACAAAAGACATCAGCAATCCACCATCATGTAAAACAATTACAGACTTTCGTTTTACACTCACTTGGCAGGACGGTAGTACCTCCCTGGGTGGTTGCTGTCTACCAACCTACTACTTGTCAAGTATTGACAAGTATTGTCAAGTATTCCAGCAACTGTTCACCAACTTTGAGAATTTTAGAGGCTTCATTCCACCATAGCTGTGGTTACAATTGGGAATTTCCTTCTTATGATAGCGTATCCCATACACGGGAGATATGGAATTTTTGAAGATATCACCATCATTCGAGTATGAGGGCAAGAGAAATTATACACAGGAGACAGAGGGAAGAGAAAGATGGGAGGAAGAGTAATATGGGCATCATAATACAGCATATCTAGCTACATATATAGTACATCAGTAATTTATGCATAGTCATTATGTATAAACTTAAGAATATATAATGGGACTAGCCTCATTATGATTTATTAAGAGAGGTAATATGAGGGAGGGGAAAAAAAGAGGGTGGGAACAGAAAAGAGAGAGGGACTCGTGTGAGCACTGTAAATGGTTTTTACTCCTATAAAAACTGAATGTTATTAAATACAGCATGTATTATGGTTTGGGAATGCCCCTCTGGTTACAACATTGGTATTTACCAGAAAAATATGTTCTGAATTTGGAACACTAGGGTTATAAACAATCATCAGGAACACATTCAGGTTGTAAGTGGATTATCTGCTGTACTTAAAACTAAACCACAAATAAGATGATAAACTTTTAATGACATTTCAGGTCATCCTGGACCGTTATCATGTCATGACTTGATAATGGTCCAGGATGGACTGAAATAACATCTAAAATTTTCTCTCCAATTTGTGGTTTTGTTTAGAATTGTTCCAGCGCTAGTATTGAGACTTGCATTCTTCATGCTACCTACTTTTTTGGTATGTAGTCACTGATTCTTACAAAAGTTATTCAGAATCATTTTGAATGGGGTAGTTTATATCATGTTATTTAAATTTTAATGGTTATAGTGTTGTTTTTTGGGTGTATCAAGAGAAGCTTTGGTAGAATAGTTACTTTGAAATGCAGTACAGTAGAACCCCTGTATCCGCAGGTTCAGTTTCCATGGTTTCAGTTATCCACGCTTTACCGTGGCCCATAAATAACTCATAATTTTGCTTAAGCGCAAAAATATTGATGCTAACAGTTCTTCAGAGCCTAAAAGAAGCTGTGAAATGCTTCCCATATGTGAAAAAATGCTATTTCTCGACTTATTGTGTATGATATATCAATCATGGGTGTGTATGTCAATGAAAAAAATGACTTATATATACAGGGTTCGCTAATATCTGTGGTTTTCAGGTATCCACCGTAGGTCTTGGAACATATCCCCCGCAGATATGGGGGAACTACTGTATATTCAAAAGAAGGGTGCTTTGAGTTAATACTGGTAAAAGTTAATTATTTTTTATTAACACACTGGCCATATCCCACCAAGGTAGGGTGATCCAAAAAAGGAAGAAACACTTTCACCATAACACACTCCATGACACTCTTGCCAGAGGGGCCCTGATACTACAGTTAAAAAAAAAAGTTAATTTTTCTTTTTAACACGTCAGTCATCTCCCACCGAGCCAAGGTGACTCAGAAAGAAAGAAAATTTCCAAAAAAGAAAAATGCTTTCATCATTATTCAACACTTTCACTTCATACATAATCACTGTCTTAGCAGAGGTGCTCAGATACAACAGTTTAGAAGTCTCTCCAAACTGGCAATATCCCAAACCCCTCCTTTAACCCGTAAACGGTCTAAGCAGATCTACATTCACATGCATAGTGCTCCAAAAGTAGATCTACGTTTTTTTTACATATTTTCAAATATAACAAAAAAAAAAACGTAGATCAAAGTTTTTTTACACGTTTTCAAATGTAAAAAAAAAAAAAAAGAGCAGCTACTTTTTTTACATACTATCAAATGTTGAAAAAATTTATATATACGTTTAGACCGTTTACGGGTTAAAGTGCAGACATTGTACTTCCCATTTTCATGACTCAAGTCTGGCTAACCGGTTTCCCTGAATCTCTTCACAAAATATTACCCTGCTCACTCTCCAACAGCTCATCAGGTCCCAAAAACCATTTATCTCCATTCACTCCTATCTAACATGCTCACACATGCTTGCTGGAAGTCCAAGCCCCTCACCCACAAAACCACCTTTACCCCAGTGGCGTTGCTAGGGTTGGTGTCACTTGAGGAGGAATCTTTGGTGTCACCCCCATGAAATCCAAGGCTGGGGGATGGGGGGAGTAAACTCCAGTTACGTCACTACTGCATAACCAACGACTAACGTTTAGCAGTGAGAACATTTAAGGGCCATAGACCGAACAGGAGAATATTTCTCAACTTTATTAATGATAAATAATCGTAGTAATATTGCGGAAACATAAACTCAAATACCACTTCGAGTACAGGCAACTGATCCTACATTTATTCATCTTCAACAATGCAAAAAGAAAAAACTTGAAAAATAAGAAAAACATTGCAATATCAGAGAAACACTAGTTCCGATTTGACCTTGAGTACAGGTTACATCTCAGCGAATCTGATCTTACGTTTCCTTGCCTTCAGTCCTGCAGAATCATCTATCACGTCATCAAAATCAATGATTTTCTCTATATAGACCTATTTGTGCTCTGTAATCATATAATAGGCTATATATAAATGAAGGATTTTTCTCTTATGTTGCTGCAGCACTGTTTTGTGCATTAGTGTCACCTTCTTTAGAGGTGTCACCCCCTAAATGGTGTCACCCGGGGCAGCCCCTCCCTTATGACACCACTGCTTTACCTCCTCCCTCCAACCTTTTCAAGGATGACTCCTACCCCACCTTCTTTCCCCTATAGATTTATATGCCCTCCAAGTCATTCTACTTTGATCCATTCTCTCTAAATGACCAAACCACCTCAACAACCTCTCTTCAGCCCTCTGATTAATACTTTTAGTAACTCCACAACTCCTAATTTCCACACTCCGAATTCTCTGCATAATATTTAAACCATACATTGCCCTTAGACAGGACATCTCCACTGTCTCCAGCTGCCTCCTCGCTGCAGCATTTGCATCCCGAGCTTCACACCCATACAAGAGTGTTGGTACCACTATACATGTACTTTTGTACATTCCCTTCTTTACCTCCATTGATAATGAAGAAAGATAATGTTTGAAAAATTAATGTTTGTAAAATCAATTTGATGTGAGACAGTAATGATTATTTATACAGTCTCTTCTCACTTAACAACGGAGTTCCATTCGTAAGACCACGTCAGTAAACGAATTCGTCGCTAAGCAAGGAACCAACCCTTACTGATGCTTGAAGCATTTATAACAACCATTTCAAACATTTTATTCTGAATGAAGAAAAGGTCTAAAGGAAACTCCACTTGATAACTTTGTATTAATTTGCATAACCCTTACATATTACAGAAAATTGTAATTATTGTACAGTATAAAAATGATGTACCAAAAAAATTCAAATTACAGTGTAAGAAGAGACATTCAGATTAACATTTTAGTCATCAAATCCTTCAGAGTACTGGTTTGGGGTCATCATCATCATCATCAGGGTTATCAGGAGCTGTAGAGGGCCTGGGTAAGGGAGATGATGGCAAGGAAATGGAAGAGCTTGTATGGGTTGGTGTAGGGGTCCTGGGTGTAGCATACAATACCGACTGGTCGGAGAGCTGGCCATAACTCCAAGTGGTTGGTAAATGAGTACGTTGCTGAGGAGAGGCTGTATAACAGTGTAATGCAAGGTAGCTGTTACTTAACATTAATGTAGAATTACATTTCAGTGTTTCATTTATCTAAGGAATATTACTATAGACTGAGTTACCCAACTCATCTTCTTGATTGATTGTTCTTTTACTGAGAGTCAAGACCTGCAAAAGCAGTGGTGACACTGAAATCGGAACATTGAATTTTTCTGCTTGGCTTTACTTAGTCATTTCTTTTTGTTTCAAAATATATTCTCACCTTTATGCATTCCCCAAGAATATACAAGAATTTGATCAGGGATGCATGAGTACTCCGAACGTGAATTTCATGGTATAGACAAATTATTAGGCTGGCATGGTACAGTGGTTAGTGCACTGACCTGCTAGTTTTAGGAGTGGCTTGCCATGAGTTCCTTTAAGCATTATTGTATTGGTATTAATGCATGTTATAATTGGTTAAATTTAGTTAGACATTAGCCTACACTAATAGCCAGGTTGAGCAGGCTATCAGCAGGGAAGACTGGTGTTAGGCCAGTCTGAGAAGCTAAAAAAAAAAAAAAAAAAAAACTTGAAACTTGTTACAAGTACACGAAAGGTATACTTCCATTTCTGTATGCCATTACTAAAACAGAAAAAGTAGAAAATACTATACAGTGGACCCCCGCATAACGATCACCTCCCAATGCGACCAATTATGTAAGTGTATTTATGTAAGTGCGTTTGTACGTGTATGTTTGGGGGTCTGAAATGGACTAATCTACTTCTCAATATTCCTTATGGGAACAAATTCGGTCAGTACTGGCACCTGAACATACTTCTGGAATGAAAAAATATCGTTAACCGGGGGTCCACTGTATTAATTTTCTTCTTTGGGTCACCTGCCTTGGTGGAAAATGATATATGTAGTAATTTTTTATATTGTTTCAAAGCATATTACATAAGAATAATCATTTTGGGTGTACAAAATACTGTGTCAGAAATTACAGATAGAAGAATTTAATGCAGAATATAAAGTGCATGTGTGTAGGGGAGGTGGTAGTTTGAGAAGGGAGTAGTGACTACATAAATATGCTAATTGAAACAAATTTTGACAAAGGTTATTATAAATTGCTTATTTTTAGTTAATAATTCCTGTTTATTAGACTGAAGTAAATAATTGAATGTATTTAGTGGAAAATAATAATTGTTCAATATATTCTGTTAACCTTTATCATTAAACCTATTTATTTGAAAGTATTATCTACCTTGGTAATCTCATTCAGTTAATTTGGACTTTACCACCAATATCTCACACATGATAATACCATGTATGACATGGCCACAGTTATTGTATTCTAAAGAGAATAAATCAGAAAGGTGAAAAAGACACATTTTATCAGTTAATGTCCATGTGATAACAGTACTATCTCAAAATTTTTCCTTGGTCCTACACCTGCTCTCATTGCTATATTCATTTGTTGTGCCAGTTACTAAATAGCAATCTAATAGTTTATTACAAATGACCTTTTTGTAAGATCCATGATTGTCTATAAAATGTACTTAAAAATTTTTTTTTTTTTAGGTACAGTTAAAGCCTCGTCCATGGCATGAGCGGTGGGAAAGAAAAAATCTGCAAGGGTTGTTGGATCTTGGGTTGCCTGAAAGATTCTACAAGCGTGCTAAATTGCATGAGAAACCATGGGAGAAATTTGATCTTATGAAGGAATACAGGTATGGTGTGCCATTTGTTCGTACAGTTACACAATAACACCAGTGTATCTTACCTCCTGATGTATTTTTGTTCAGTTTGCTTTGTGGATAAGATGGCACAAGGCTGATAATTTTTCCAGATTTGAGAGCTTATTTGAAAACAGTTTTTGATGAATGTGATTCTCTCTCAGGCATCTGGGCTTTCATAAATACATTGCTCAATAGGTCTCATGTGAGGAAGACAGAGCATGGAAAAGTAGTTGCATGGGTGTTATAAGGTCTGAAAAACACGAAGTTTATCGAGGAATAAAAAAGTCAGCATATATATGAATATAATTACAGGTCCACATCCCTTTATCCAAAACCCTTGGGGATAGTAGTGTTTCAAATTTTAGACTTTTTCGAATTTCAGAATGAAGGTGGGGTCTTGGGCAGCACCCCATAATCAAACATTAACACTGCAGCAAAAATGTATGAACACTCATGCTAAGTGGGATAAATAAAGACTACAAATACTACACGGTTTATTTATAGAGTAATATATTGATAAATGAAACAATGGGATAATTATAGACCAGGAACATGATTCTCAAGACGATTGACAGACAGCATTTTTTAGAGACTTCTTCAAGTGTTATCTGTCTTATTAACATAGGTTTCTGTCTAAGCAATCTCTTTAACTGAGTAAATTGCCATAATCTCTTGTTCACTGATAAATGCACATTGTTCAAGGCCAGCAATTAACTATCACACATTTTCACCATATCGTCTGTGGGGACTTTTTCACCTGTGTTCACAAGGTTATGACCATCATCACTACTATTCTCATGCTATTTGTATTTAACACCATTTCAGCAATTTCACCAGCACTCATGTGGCGGGGTTGGAGTTACGTAGAGATGACTGACACTCCATGAAAAAACTTCGGTTTTCAGAACATTTTGAATTTCAGAATTTCAGATAAAGGGATGTGGACCTGTATATATATTTCTTTTAATGGTGTGAAGCATTGTCTTTAAATGTTCCTACAGTGAGGAGGTTATAAGCAGTGGAAATGTCTTGTTTGAGATAAATTTGTGATGTGTGAATATTGTACAAAAAAATAAGAAAAACAAGTTAGATGTAATATGAAAATTTGCATATAATTCAAAGAACACAAGAGGGATTATTCAGATGATTTGGTTATTTTTGAAAAACTGAATAAAATAAAATAATAAATGGGTGTATAGATCTGTAGTAGATAGAAGTGGATGTAAAAGACATAGAAGAAAGGGTTAGAAGGATGGTGTGAGGATCCAGTAGGTATATGGAAGCTTGTTTGAGGGGACTAAATAGAATGATGATAAAATGGCTCATAGGTTTTGATATGAAGTTTGAGTATGGTAATTTCTCCAGATATTAAAGAAAACTAGCAGCAAGATTTGAGTTTTGTAGGTTGGTTACTAATGTGTATTTACTTTGATAATGGGGTAGGTAAGTTGCAATTAGGCAAGTCATTATTGGTATGCATTGTATGTGCTCTTCTGGAAAGACAGTTACACTATCCCCCCCTTTGTTTTTTTTGTTTTTTTAGAGATCTATAACTACCTAGGTAGTAGGTTGGTAGACAGCAACCGCCCAGGGAGGTATTACTGTCCTGCCAAGTGAGTGTAAAATGGAAATCTGTAATTGTTTTACAAGATGGTAGGATTGCTGGTGTCTTTTTTCTGTCTCATAGACATGCAAAATTTCATGTACGCCTTGGTACTTCTACTTACACGTAGGTCACACTACACATGTATGTACAAGCATATATATACACAACCCTCTGGGTTTTTTTCTATTTTCTTTCTAGTTCTTGTTTATTTCCTCTTATCTCCATGGGGAAGTGGAACATAATTCTTCTTCCGTAAGCCATGCGTGTTGTAAGAGGCAACTAAAATGCCAGGAGCAAGGGGCTAGTAACCCCTTCTCCTGTATAAATTACTAAATTTAAAAAGAGAAACTTTAGTTTTTCTTTTTGAACCACCCTGCCTTGGTGGGATACAGCCGATTTGTTGAAAAAAAAGAAAATCTATAACTACAGGAGTAGAGCTCGGCTCAGGGTGTCCTATCTTGAATGTTTTGTTATATACCTATTAAAGTTTCTAATGTGGTAAGCCCTCGATTTTAAGGACCTCAATTTAACAGATTTCAGAAATATGGAAAAAATCTGGATTAATTGACTTGGAAACTATGGACAGAATCTATTGGTTATAGAATTGTCTGTTGTTGTTATAATCATGACCTAGCATTCATCTCTGTCCACCACAATTGACATTACTGGTCACCCACTCTCTCCCACTAGTCCATTTAAATCAAGGGCTTACTTTGTAATGCATACCACAGTACTGCCTCTTTGATCCCATTCCAGCAGTCTTTCATTACTTGTTATGAAATACCTTCTTTTAGCATCATTATTTCCTTAGTTATCATGACCACTTGTTCTTGTTAAGTATGTTAATAGATCATATTTATCTAATGTCTAATATCCATTTATTATCTTTGTGTATGGTTATTATGTCACCTCTTATTCTCCCTCATTCTTTCTTCACAGTTCATATTTTGTAGCATGTTGTCAACTTCCTTCTATTTTATCTAAAATTTTTAAGGAGCAGACATGTAATACAGCTGCATATAACAATTTTGATCTGACCTCTGTTATGAGTAATATATTTAGCATTCCACCCTCCCCATAACCAAAAGCTGTTTTAAGGTTTGCCCTTATAGTTGTCACTAAAAATTTGATTATTTTTAACTACATGTTTATTTCCCCAGAGCAACAATACCTGAGGAGGAGCAAGCTGACATCTTCAGAGAAATATCTCCTCATTATGAACAGCTGGAAGCCTCAAGAAGAAGGGCAAAGAGAAGACGCACTAAAATTATTCGATCTTAATTATTTCAAATTTATTGGCGTTATTATTTAAGAAATTCAAATAACTGGCATAGGATATACTGCATTATTCATTGTGTAAAATATAGCCCATTTACACAAAGTACAGTGGAACCTCAAATATTGAACTGCTCCCAACTCAACCAATTATGTAAGTGTATGTTTGTAAGTGCTTTTATAAGTGTATTTTTGAGAGTCTGAAATGAACTAATCTAATTTACATTATTCCTGATGGGAGTAAATTCATTCGGTAACGGCAGTCGAACAGCCGTCTGGAACGAAGAAAGTTCGATATTTGAGGTTCCACTGTAATATTATACCATCTTAAACTGAACAGTTCTGTAGGTCCCCCACTTATGATGTTTATGCATTCCTGAAAATTTATCATAAGTTAGCTGTTCGGAACTTGATATCAATTTTCCCCATAGACATCCTTGTTATGATCAGAAATGTGTTCTTGAACCATGATATTCCTATGTAATTTTATTATTTAAAAATATTTACCCAATGAAGCAAGGGGCTAGTAACCCTTTCTCCTGTATTAAATTTTAAAAGAGAAACTTTTATTTTTTTTTTAGGTCACCATTGCCTCAGTGGGATACGGTCAGTTTGTTGAAAAAAAAAAAATACCAAATATTTTACATTCAGTACTGTTTCATTTACTTGCAGGTAATACTAAACATTGTTACACAACCCGCATGTAGGAGAAAAACTTATGTCGATGTTTTGGTCCAACTTGGATCATTAACTAGTCACATACTAATATTGTTTGCAGGCAGCAGGAGTTGGATTTTCTTAGAGACTGAGGTGGGGCAGTGGAAGGAGGGAAGGGGGGTGTTAAATCCTTCCCTGCAGTTTGCTTCTCACATTTGACATCCAATCCAAGGAGAGAAGGGAGGGAAGGAGGGAGAGGGGTATTGGCAGCAGAGATATGCCTCACTCTCTGGCTTTACAGTACACACTAATGCCATTGTGAAAAATGTATTTTTAATTTCTGCAATTTTTGACCAGTCTTTTCCAAACTAATGTAAACCAAACATACAAGCAGGCTCTGGTCATATGGCTCCTAAGGTTCGTGATCCCAAATGATAAGCAAAAATCGCAGGTAGGTGGAAAAGAGCATTTTTTCATTATCGAATGCATCTAAAATGCCTGATAACGTGTTTACACTATCATATAGTAAGTACCCAGTACAGTTAGGCATATAAAAGCATGAAAAAGTAAAATAAATACACAGTACATACAATACTTACCTTAAAATGTGGCGCCATTCGTCCTTCCCTTACACAATTTTTGTGTGATAATGGCGGAAAAGCGGTAAAAGCAACAAACGTAATGAACAATGGCTCAGTTGAAAGCCAATGAAAACATGGGACACCGAAAAGTGGGAACTGTATATATGAGGCCTTCCTGTATATACCTAGCATGAACATAGACAGTACGTATATCAATACCCCATGATAAAAAAATAATGGGAAAAAATAAATGTGATATAAGTTTAACAAAATTATGATTTAATCTACAGTTCTTGATCTATATTTACCAAACAAAATTAAACTCTCCACACATGCTTATGAAGGACATACACAAAATATGAATGTATTTGTTGAAAAATAATAGAAAAGATAATTATTAAAAAAAAATTGTTTCAGTAGTTTCTATTATTGTAACTGTGAATCAACATTTTTGTTGTTGGCTGGTTCTAAAGTACTGTTGTCTTATAAATGGAAAACTAGGACTCTGTTGTATACAGTTATGCTGTAGTATTATACTGACATATATGAGGTTGGGGAAATTAAACGAGGTTGGGGAAATTAAACTATAAGTTGTAGCCTTTTTTTTTTTTTTTTTTTTTTTTTTTTTTTGATAAAGTTAATATCGAGCATAACACTTCTGTCAGATCTAAAGCTAATGACTTTAAATTAAGGATTTGCTTGCTAATGGATTCAAGCATCACTCATTCTGTGATTTGATAAATACAGGTTTTTTCTTCCAAATCTAAAGCTATTAATTTTAAGTATAGGATTAAGTAATTAGTCTGTACAGTAAATGTTCTAAAACTTGATAAAACACAATATTTGAAAAAAAATCTAAATTTAAACCAGCTCTGGCATGTTTTGTGATGAAATAACATTGTTTTTAAAATATTTAAGAAAACTGGATAAAATAATGATAATATTTAGTCAATAAAGCAATTTGCATACTTCAGAAAAAGATTTCAGGTTTAGTGCTTGGTTATATTATTTTTATTATGTTTTTTTTTTTTTTAAACATATCAGCTGGAAATGGGAAGTACAATGCCTGCACTTTAAAGGAGGGGTTTGGGATATTGGCAGTTTGGGGGGATATGTTGTGTATCTCTATACGTATATGCTTCTAAACTGTTGTATTCTGAGCACCTCTGCAAAAGCAGTGATAATGTGTGAGTGTGGTGAAAGTGTTGAATGATGATGAAAGTATTTTCTTTTTGGGGATTTTCTTTCTTTTTTTTGGGTCACCCTGCCTCGGTGGGAGACGACCGACTTGTTGAAAAAAAAAAAAAAAAATCAGCTGTTTCCCGCCAAGGCAAAATTTTTATTTTGTCAGAGTGAAAAAGTTTGTAGACTGGTTGGTGTATACATGTGTGCACAGTTATTTCCTTATATAAACAGTAGTTCTAGTGCATAAATGTTGAAGTTTATCAAAAATAATGTGAGATTAGTATGTGGGGGTCAAGTAGCAGCATAGAGCATTATTTTTTAAGTCAATGGCTGATCTTGAGAAAGAAAAATGTCTGATATTTGTCATTACTGTAGATGATCCAGCATCAATATAGTATCCTGCTTGCTGGCATGTTCAAAAATTTTTAATATTTATTTTATTCAAATATCATCTTTACTCCATATTTTTTTTCCCCCAACAAACCAGCCATATCCCACTCAGTAGAGTGACCTAAAAAGAAAAACAAAAGTTTTTAAATTTAGTAATTTATACAGGAGAAGGGGTTATAATTTTTTTTTTTTTTTTTTACGTCGGCAGTCTCCCACCAAGGCAGGGTGACCCAAAAAGAAAGAAAAAATCCCCAAAAAGAAAATACTTTCATCATCATTCAACACTTTCACCTCACTCACACATAATATATTTTATGCTAATTTAAATTTTGTAATTCATGTAGAAGAAGGGGTTATAAATATATTTTATGAAAATTAAAAATAAAAGGCTTACATGGTGTATAAATTGGTCAAGCAGGTCAGTACCCTCAAGGAACTCCCATATTTGATCACCTGAAGAAACCGTAGTGGTGTGGGCCCTGGAAGGTGCTGGCTTTGAAGAGCTCACTGTGCGTAGATAAGTTTTTAATAAATGATGGTAAATGCATTTCCTGTGGGTCATCTTTGTTGTGTAAATGGCTGATGTAGTTAAAAGTTTAAGTGATTGCTTATATGTAGAAATATAGCTACATATAGTAGTATACTGTATACATATTGTTTCTCTTCAATAGTGTCTCCCACCAAGGCAGGGTAACCCAAAGAAGGAAACACATTCACCATTGTTTATTCACTTACCTTCATAACAAAAGCAAAATACACGTCACTAATATGGTTGACTGGCAGGCAAGCTGTGAAAACGGAGGGAATTATCACCTGCATGAATGCAGTAAAATATTTTTAATAATTGAATTAAGTTATGCTGAATTAATAACATGAATACTTTTCAGATTATTTAATAGGCATTTGAAAATTGTAGCTAAAATTTATCGTAACATTACAGATTAATTAAGGAAGAGAGAGATGTGGATCAATTAGTTATGATAACATATTAAATAATAAGGGACTGTATTTTTTGGCTGTTTAGTAAGGTCTTTTTAACTTGTGGTAATTGCAGCTTAACAATGCATAGGTGCATAATTGGTATAAATATTTATTCTAACAAGATTAGATTAATAATTGAGGGGAAAATTATAATTTAGGTTATTGCAACAGTAAAATTCAATAATGGGAGGAAATGAACAAACATTGATAATGATTAGAAAAATGTACATATTTTGGTTGGTTAAGATGATTTTTTTTTTTTTTTTTTTTTACTCATTGGAAAGTGCAAAATCAATGGGGGTTATAGATCTAAGAGAGGGGAAGGTATTTCTTATTTTTTGGTTCAAGAATCCTTCAGCATCAAGGCACTTCATTTAAAGAATATGAACTTTGAACATTTTGTGTTGTGTTAGCCATATATGAAGCACTGTGCACACAGTTTCTAAGAATACTGGTGTTAAGCACAGGCCACTAATGCTTGTGTGGGCACTCTCTATAGATGCAAAATATTTTGAAAACTGGCCTAAACCAATCCAGTATAATATATTAAAGTTGCAACTGTTTTCATGGAGGCACCACAAAGTAGTCATCAGTCTCATGTGGTTTTTTTTTTTTTTTTTTTTCAACAAGTCGGCCGTTTCCCACCGAGGCAGGGTGACCCAAAAAAAAAGAAAGAAAATCCCCAAAAAGAAAATACTTTCATCATCATTCAACACTTTCACCACACTCGCACATTATCACTGTTTTTGCAGAGGTGCTCAGAATACAACAGTCCAGAAGCATACACATATAAAGACACACAACATATCCCTCCAAACTGCCAATATGTGGTTACAGTATTCAATTTTATTTTCCATACAATGGCCGTCTCCCACCAAGTTAGGGTACCCTGAAAAAGAACAAATGTTAAGTTTGTTAAGTTTCCTTTTTATATTTAGTAATTTATACAGAAGAAGGGGTTATCCCCTTGTTTCCAGCATTTTAGTTGCCTCTTTCAACACACATGGCTTTTGGAGGAAGGATCCTTCTCTACTTCCCCATGGAGAGTATTCAAAATACCAAAAAAATATATGATAGGAAAATTGAAAACTTGTATTTTGGTATCTTAAAGAAACCTTTTAATAAGCTTTCCATTACCTTGGATGAAACCTCATTGCCTCCCTTGATGTTCTTGCTAACATTATTTTTTGTTAATTATTATAATTGTTATTGTTACATAAAGAGCACATAACCCATCTAGGGTTATGACATGGTACATTGGATAAGGTATGAACCTGCTAGTTTTATGACTGGGTTGCTATTAGTTTGAACCCCACTGCACTCAGTGAGATATTACTTATAGTATGTAAAAATGTACATAAATACTGATCTATCTCAATTTTGTTTTATTTTCTTCTTTCAACAAACTGGCCATATCCCACCGAGGCAGGGTGACCTAAAAGAAAAACATGAAAGTTTCTCTTTTTAAAATTAGTAATTCTTTCTTCTTTCTTTCAACAAACCGGCCGTATCCCACCGAGGCAGGGTGGCCCAAAAAAGAAAAACGAAAGTTTCTCTTTTAAAATTTAGTAATTTATACAGAAGGGGTTACTAGCCCCTAGCTCCTGGCATTTTAGTTGCCTCTTACAACACGCATGGCTTACGGAGGAAGAATTCTGTTCCACTTCCCCATGGAGATAAGAGGAAACAGGAACAAGAACTAAAAAGAAAATAGAAAACCCAGAGGGGTGTGTATATATATGCTTGTACATGTATGTGTAGTGTGACTTAAGTGTAAGTAGAAGTAGCAAGATGTACCTGAAATCTTGCATGTTTATGAGACAGAAAAAAGACACCAGCAATCCTACCATCATGTAAAACAATTACAGGTTTCCGTTTTACACTCACTTGGCAGGACGGTAGTACCTCCCTGGGCGGTTGCTGTCTACCAACCTACTACCTAGGAAAATTAGTAATGTATACAGATAAAAAGGGTTACTAGCCCCTTGTTCCTGGCATGTTAGTTGCCTCTTACGACACACATGGCATATGGAGGAAGAATTCTGTTCCACTTCCCCATGGAGATAACAGGAAATAAACCTAAATGTAAGTAGAAGTAGCAGGATGTACCTGAAATCTTGCATGTTTATGAGACAGAAAAAAGATACCAGCAAGCTTACCATCATGTAGAACAATTAGAGAGTTCCATTTTACACTCACTTGGCAGGATGGTAGTAGAGTACCTCCCTGGGTGGTTGGTGTCTACCAACCTAATACCTACATTATTTCATTTTACCTTTAGGAATTTCTCTAATCTTAAGAAAGAATGAAGACATTTTGAATGAAATCTTATGGTTTTCAGTTTAGGGGTAGTGAACCGAGCAAAAGGAAATGGACACCAGGAAGAAAACATGAACAGCTGTAACTGTTTTTAAAATGGCCTTTGGTAAGAATGCATAATTGAATCATGTATATTACAAAGCTTGAGTTCTGGAGTAGTTGAACCCTTGAATTCGTGTGATTCATAATGTGTATGATTCAGATATACCATAAATTTTTAATGAAGGCCAATTTGTGGATAGCTTCAATTATAATTCATTAATGTTTTTTCTTGATATCCATTGTCTTCGTGTCACACAACCTCTCAATTATTGCTTGGCATATGACCCCAAAAGTGATGCCTGAAGCACAACCCCTTAACTGAAAACTAACCATAGGATTTTATTCATGATTTTTTTTTAACACGACGACAGTCTCCCACCAAGGATGACCCAAAAAAAAAAGAAGTCCTTTCACCATCATTCACACAATGTCACTGTCTTTGCAGAGGTACCCAGATATGCTCGTTTACTCTCTTGAATTCTAATATTAAGCACATGATGTAAATATTTAAAGAGATGAAGCTCTCAGCCAAGGCACTTTTAAAATTTTAGCTATTTACATGTACAGTAATATGAAATGGAACATTTTTAAACAGGTACTGTAGCATAATTCAGTCATGCACAGTTTTATATTAGGTATGGCATTAGGGTTCATGTTACCTTTAGGAAGCTAACCCACACAACTTCTGGGGTTCAACTGTACATGATTTTAGCTCTAGACTATACTTTTTTTTTTAAGCTTAGTTTATCTGTAGATTAAGATTAATAAGTTTATACTGTATTTGAATTGCTATACAAAAATACATGAACTATGTATACAATGTATTAAAGATTCATTGTCCTCTCTCTTACTCTTTCAAAAATTTTAAATGTATTTTTTAAGATAACATGCATTTGCTGATATTTATTAGGTTTCTCATCTTGTGTTTTTTCTGAAACACTATGATTAATAGTCATTTTTCAATGTGTAATGTTTTTTAGTTAATGAATGGTACCTATTTAAATAAATTTAATGAATTCATCTCTAAATTTAAAATCTTTGATATAATATGTACTTTGAGAATAAACATGTTTTTGTCTACAGGTTGAGCCATACATGAGGCACATTAAAAAAGATATTTATTTTGTTGTCACTGTGAATTTTTTCTATTTTTAGTTCATTAAACTTTTTTTTACCTGTTCATATTTTCTTGCATTAGACTGAGCACTCCAAGTATGTTGTGTTAACATTTTCACTGAGGCAAGTGGTTTTATTTTTAATATGTGCTGAATAAAGTTCAAGGCAAGTAAGTATTTATTGAGCTAGTATGGTAATATCAGCAAGTTATGTGTAGATTACAGCTACTACCTCAAGCCCCATTTACTACTCTGCCTCCTCCTCTATTTTTATTATGTTACCCTACTTTTTCCATTGTTACCTTGACTCCGTGTATTACATATACCACTTGTTCTGTCGTGGAAAAATATTCCCTTATTAAATGTCTTGATCTGTGAATAAGTGCCTGTTTCAACAGTGAAGTGTTTGTTGTGTTTATCTTCCTTGAGGAGATTAAAACAAATTTTCTCTTATATTTAGCACTTAGTCTATGAATATGAAAATATTCTTATAACTGGAAGTGCTGCAGCGAGGAGGCGGTTGAAGGTGGTGGAGATGTTCTGTCTAAGGGCAATGTGTGGTATAAATATTATGCAGAGAATTCGGAGTGTGGAAATTAGGAGAAGGTGTGGAGTTAATAAAAGTATTAGTCAGAGGGCTGAAGAGGGGTTATTGAAGTGGTTTGGTCATTTAGAAAGAATGGACCAAAGTAGAATGACATGGAGAGCGTATAAATCTGTAGGGGAAGGAAGGCGGGGTAGGGGTCGTCCTCGAAAAGGTTGGAGGGAGGGGATAAAGGAGGTTTTGTAGGTGAGGGGCTTGGACTTCCAGCAAGCATGTGTGAGCGTGTTAGGAGTGAATGGAGACGAATGGTATTTGGGACCTGACGAGCTGTTGGAGTGTGAGCAGGGTAATATTCAGTGAAGGGATTCAGGGAAACCAGTTATTTTTATATAGCCGGACTTGAGTCCTGGAAATGGGAAGTACAATGCCTGCACTCTAAAGGAGGGGTTTGGGATATTGACAGTTTGGAGGGATATGTTGTGTATCTTCATACGTATATGCTTCTAAACTGTTGTGTTCTGAGCACCTCTGCAAAAACAGTGATTATGTGTGAGTGAGGTGAAAGTGTTGAATGATGAAAGTATTTTCTTTTAGGTTTTTTTTTTTCTTATTGGGTCACCCTACCTCGGTGGGAGACAGCCAACTTGTTAAAAAAAAAAAAAACTGAAAGTGCTGCAGGACTTGTACAAATGTAGTTCTAAAAAGTGTAATAGTAATAATAATATTGATAGATATAGAGGGTAAAGCACTGACAAACACATTTGCTTTTATGTAGTGGATTTGAGTGTAAGACCTGTTCAGTCTTGTTGCCCCTATTTATTCTACCTCTATTTCTGTTGCCCTATTTATTACCCCTATTTCTGTATCCATCATCTGTCTGAGTGGGATATGAGAGTTTAGATAAGGGAGTGAACTGCAGTCCTTGATGTCTTATGCAAAACTATCAGACTACCACCAACTTTACACTGAATATCTTTCAATGATTTAGTTATTTGCTACACTGCAAATTTTCTGAAAAGCTTGTGCATCCCAGGATTAGGCTATTGAGAAAAGTTTTTAAATCTTAGTTACCTAAGTTCCGTCAAATGCTTCCTGACTGCTATTAATATAGTTGGAAAGGGTATCAGCATTTCAGAGCTGTAATTTTGTGCTGTGAAGCTGGGTTGCTGGTTATCTTAATCACAGCAGAGGAACTGCTGCAAAACCATGAAAAACAGACCTCATTTTAGTTCATTTCTTTAATGACAAATAAAATCTGCTGGGTAGCCTAATTTTGGAAACAATGGACAAAATCCAACACTTGCAGAATTGTCTGTTATTTTTGCGATCACTACAAAACAACCTGTTTTTGGACTTAACAGTCTGCATTACACACACTGCCCTATTAGTACAGAAGGGAAGCAGTAAACCAGTAAGGGTCATATAGTGCCTGGGGAATAAGAAGTACAGTTCAGGATGTTTATTAGAGGAAATGTTTTGCCTCGAGTGGCTTCTTCAGTCCTAGGACAAATAAATGTCCTGAGCTGTAGGTAAGTGTCTTTTACCACATGTCATTTTCACCATAGCATATTTCAGAAGTAATCAAATTTGAGAAAACTGATAGTAGTTCTAATTCCTTGGATCAAGATGCCCTTACCAGCATCAAGGCATCTGCCTTGATGCTGGTAATTGTAAAAGCCTGTCAAGTAAGCTATGAATTGTTGGGGCAACAAAAGTATAATGAACACTGATCAATGAGAGAGGAAAATCATGAGACAAAGAGGAAGACTGGTATTCAACATATTTCAACCTCCAGCCATGGTCCTCTTTAACATACACTAAGAAATGTGGAGAGAAACCAGGTATGTATTAAGGGCAGGGAGAGTGGGAAGTTCCTGCCAGTTATATTGTCCGGGCAGAGCTTCTTGGACTCTCTAGGAGCTTGATGATATCTTACAATTGGATGCTCTTCCAGGATGTCCCCTCAAGGAAGGTTCTTTGATGTTGGTGAGGGGCTCTTGATTTAGGGAATTGGATCTGTGCTCCAGTTCCCCGAATTAAGCCTGAATGCCTTCCACATCCCCCCCCCCCCCCCCCCCCCCCCGAGGCGCTGTATAATCCTCCGGGTTTAGCGCTTCCCTTTTTTTTTTTTTTTTAATACTTTTTTTATTTATTTATTTATTTATTTATTTATTTATAAATTTTAGCATACATACAGAGGTACAAAAAAATACAGGTAAGAGCAGCATGCCAAAGCCACTTATATGCATAGCATTACGGGCTGGCTTAAAATTAACTTAAGATTAACTAAGCAATGATGAAATCAGTGATAAGACATTATTGTAAACAGATAACTATAAAATACAAATGAGTATTACA